GGGGCCGCCGGGCCACGAAGAGGCCACAGTAAGGACCCCCTCCCCCCTCTTCCCAAGCCCACATCCATTGGTCGCAATGAGTCCCATGGGCAGGACTCTAGGGCCTCCTCGCGTCGCATTGTGCTGCTGGCCGTGACATATCGGGGCGGGGGCCGTCCCTAAAGGGGCTCGTCGTCGTCACGGGTCGCCGGGCACGAGGCCGTAGTACGCGAGTCCCTCCGCGCACGTCATTCGGGCCCGGCCCCCGATGTGTCGCGCGTCTTGTCCGGCCCACCCCGCCACGCCGTGCCACGCTCCGCTGCGGCCGCTAACAAGCCTTGGCCAGCGCCATATGCATAAATACATTGTCTTATACGCCGGTGTGTGTGTGTGAGTAAGGTTCTGCGATATGTGTTACAAGTAGTCGGAAACCAGTTCCCCGGTACGATACTGCCCACACAACCGAAACAAAACAAAAAAAAAACAAAAAAAAACACAACAACAACAAGTAATTGTAACGATAAAAAGAGCTAATAATTGCTCTAGAACCTGTAGGTAAAGCAATTGCAGTGACGGAAGACGATGACCCCGTCCGATCGTCAGGGCCACGTGTGCCTTCAGCCCCCCCCCCCTTTTTTTCGTTATCATATCACACGACAATACGCCCGCGCCACCCTGCTGCTTGGAAAATCCCCCACATTGCTCTCATTGGAAAGAACCTTTCAATGAAAGATTTTCCGGTCACCGACGTAACGAGTGTATGAGAAAGTTCTCCCTGTTCGGTCGAGGAAAGCTCTTTCTTGAAGTGATTTTACCTGCACTGCGCTGCATTTTTAGCGGGCGCAGGGGGAAGGGGGGGGGGTTGAGACCGAAGAAAAAGTATATTTCTTGTGGTCGGTCTTGTCCCCATGCTAATTCCAGTGTCCCTAAACTAAGGAATCAGGGGGGGGGGGCGGTATCACGAATGGACGAATGGTGTCGTCCAGTTCGCACAGTTTGGTGGGGGTCGCGATGCCATGGCACGGCTAATCCTAACGCGTGGGACAGACGCCTGTTGTCTTCTTGGGGCGAGGCTAGCGGGGAGGGGTGGGGTGGGGTGCTGGAGACGGAGGGAATTCCCACGACATTTTCTCTCCCCGGAGCATCCTTTGCCGTCCACGTCCGGCAGGAGGTAGAAAGACACTGAGGCGGAAGTTACATGAGCTAAGGCGAGCAATACAGTTGGCGCGAAAATTCAAAAAAAGAAAAAAGAAAAATATGACAAAAACATGGTGACAGCGGAAGAACTTATGAGACGGGGCGTCGCAAAGGCAGACGAATGTCACACTCTCACGGATGCTAAAATGTTAGTTGTTATGGGTACGTCCGGGATCGTTTCCCGTATGACAGTGTAGCACAGACCGCACGGCGGCGGCGCTGCGGCGATACGAGATAGAGGGGAAATGCCCCTAAAAGCACTGCGGTCTACTCCCATGCTGGACAGTTATGCCCATCCCGTTATCAGCACACACGCTCACACACATACACACACACGTGCGACAGAGGTCCACAACAACAATGGCAAGTCTCACGGCACATGCGAAGTGTCGCGGTATGGTCGCGGTCAAAGAAGAAAAAAATAATGAACTGACATTTGTACGCGTGGAAACGACTCCTTTTTCTTTCTTTCTTTCTTTCTTTCTTTCTTTCTTTCTTTCTTTCTTTCTTTCTTTCTTTTTACTAAAGCAAAAATCGCAAGACGACAAAACAACCGTGAGGCAAAAGTGTTTGACCCGCCTCATAAACAGTAATAACTGCACCGCACACCGTCCCCGAGGCATGGTCTCAGGCTTATTTCATTATTTCAAAATATGAAAATGGAAATGAAAAGTGCGTGACATTTCTCAGTCTGCCGACTTAACCACCCTCACCCGCCGGGTACGCGGCGGGGAGTGCCAAAACTAATGCAGTAGTGCAAAAATAGAGAGGAATAAACATAGAAATCGGAGTGAAAAATAGAGTGCGATAAAAATAGAGCTGAGAAAAAATAAAATCGCAATAGAAATAGCATTAAGTAAAAATGAGAGTGCAAAAATAAATACAGTGCACTGCTGCACAATGAGCGAGCGCAGGCGCAGCGGAGCAGAAGGAGAAGGCGAAGGAATTAATTAATGGGGAATATGTAATGCAATTGTAGTAAGTGGAAGTGAACAGGTGCGAGGGCGGGGGCTACCTTACCGCCCGCCAGCAGGGTACCGGGCACCACGGCCGGGTGTTTGGGCGCGTAACGCACGGTAGGCAGAGGGGGAGGGGGAGGGAGGGGGGCTATCAACAGGTACGAGATGGAAAAGGGGAGCGGGGAGAGGAAGCCCTCCCAACACACACACCCACAAACTTCATGATTCATGAGAGAAGAAAATAATGCCCCAAAG